TTACGAGAGAGGCAAAGTTTCAGATCAGTCAAAAGAGTATTTGAAAAGGATGCAGCTAAATTCTTAAAAGCTCTCTAACATTAGCTTTATTTCAAACACGCACAAAGTTCAATGTCAGCGCTGTCTAGCCAATAAATCAAATTGGTAGACGAGACTTGTTTGGACTAGCAATGAAAAGTTAGAAGGGATTCTCCAAGAAAGCCACAAAGCAGCTCATTTAAGGTCAATTTAACGGTATTATTCTGTTTTTCTTCCAGCCCCGACATAAGATTTCAGTACCTCAAAGGAAATTGTAAGAGTATCTATTTGCATTCCCCCAAGGTGATTGGCAGTTCACCACCAATTAGTTCAAAATTACACTGTTACTAGTGTGCAATAAAAACAACACCTTTCATCTTTCTTACATAGGTAAGGATACCTTCAGAGCCAATAACTTTGATCAAGTAAGTATTTTTGATCCTACCCCACCCGTCTCTTTGGATCCAGGAAAACTAATAGCTGAAGGCAACTTTTTTCTTTTAATATAAAAAAGTCCCAGCTTTATTCTTCAACTGTAGGAGTGATGTGGGTACTGAAATATAATACACTGGAAACAAACATTTTCCCAAAGCCCAGTATCTCTTCAATAGATAAAAATACTAGGGTAGATAACACAATCAAACTTTCCCCTCCCTCCTCCTCCAATTTTCAGTTAGACACTGCAGACACCTGAGGAGGAAGAAAATTAGTTCCCACAAAGAAGATCTACAGTTTCACAGATAGATTTATTTTCAAATATGAAAAGCTTTACAGTCATCAAGTATCACTTAAGCCTCTGCTCTGGTCCTCTTCATTTTAATAAAAATTTGACTCTTTAGATACACATATAAATAAAGTATGTATTTCACAGCACTTTACTGCAAACCTGCCCAGCAGGGTTACTTATGCACCAGGGATTTCTACCACCAACACTGTGGAAGAGTTGTAAAAGCCACGGCAGAGGAAGTGTGTAGCTGAATATATCTGCCATGATACAGCAACAGACACAATCTGTGTGCTAAAACACAGATTATGGCCTCTAACATTACAGCCCAACATTTAACTGATGTAATTAGCACCACCCCCATTTATATACACTTTTTTCAAATGCAATAAACATGGTAAACATGACCCTTCATAGTTCTGGATTTAACAATGTCAATGTTTCCAGTATAATTTGTATGTATTAGAAAGACTTCTGGAAGAGAAGATGAACGTTTCCATGCTTGCCATAATGAGAACCATGCTTAAATTGACTAAAGTATCTACTCACAAAATCCTGTAGAGTATCTTCTTGCATATATAACGTCTTTCCCCAACTGCATGCTATGTGCAAGTTTAGATTTTCATTTACTTTTCAGCTTAAGTCCATTAATTTTCTCTATCCACTAGATAGGTATCTAGTGGATAGATACCTATCCTAGATATCCTAGGTAGGGGTTTTCAAGCATTCCTTTAGATGGGGGTGTCAATGTCATTCCCTCAGCATTGGAAACAGAGGGAATTCAGTCTCTCTCCTGTCTCAGGACATTTAAGCCCCACGTCTTTCACTGCTCAAGAGCAGGCTGGTGAGTGCTCCATGGAATATGGGTGGGCTGCAGTTCCACTCTTCACTGAATAACAAGCCATGTGCTGAAAGCAAATCCAGTTGCTTGGCTGGTGTTAGGGGAGCTCCCAGCACACATCCTAAATCCATATCCAGGTTTGTACTGGACAGGCACTGTACTGAAGCCACCTACAGACAGCCTAGGTCCACTCCGTAAGTGTAATTAAACTGCAACATAAGCAACTGTTGAGAGACTTCTGCAAGAAAAAGAGCAGCCAAGCATCACCTAAACAATCCCATTCCCCCTGTGAATAGCAAACCCCTCTCTGCACTACTTCCAGTAGATTCTTGAATAACTATAGGGTCATTGCTCTGTGTTGTACACAAGCAGAATCACCATGACAACATAAAATATTCAGTATCAAATATTTTACAGTTCCCAGATAACATCAAACAGACAGAATGATTATCATTACCCCATCACAGCTTCAAAGACACCCACTGCATGCACCTTTTTGTGTGCCTGTGTGTGAATGCACATACATGCATGTGTCACTATAAACACCTGAAAAGGTAAATGTTACTTTTAAACTGCAGTGATGGCTGATTTCAGCACAAAGAAGTCCCTACTCCTCCAGTAAGACGACCTCCATGATCTCTGCAATCAAACATACTTCCCCTGACAAAGCAACTTTGAAAGGATACTTAATGAGACCTCAAGGAAGGAGAGATTGAGATATATGACAGAAGACTGAAAATCACGAGAGAAAAAACAGGAAATTTAAAAAATAAGGCTAAAATAAATCATCATGACACATTGTT